TTTTTTACTTTCTTTACTTTCTATTTAAAGGTTTATGGCGTAAGAGTTCATAAGTTTCTTACTTCGTCCTACTCCTGCTAAGATTATTGTGGTGTAAAATATGTTTTTTTGCATTGCTTGTTCACGTGTGTGATTTTATACTTCCATCATGTAAAATAAATAAATAAAACTTACATAGCACATAAAAGCAAGAGATATTGGCCAAAGTGCTGCACCACTCGCTTGTTTTTGGATTTTATTTTGTAACCTAACTCTGTTTTAGACTTCATAACATTTTCCCTTTCTTCTATTCTGTGTTCCTCTGTTTTCTCTAATGTAACAAACATCTTTCACAGAACAGCTGAATTTGCACGGACATTAAGTTACACACAGATGCATTGTGTTTAATAATAAGGAGATTTGGGCAGCGGTATCAGACTCTGTTTATCTGTTGTTCATTTTGAAATACCTGAATGAATATCTTTATTTGGCGTTTTGTGTCATTTTCTGTGTGGTTCCTCGTCCCATGTTTTCATCTTCACCCACATTTTTAAAGCCTTTTGCATATCAAGCTGGAGAAATGAACAATTATTTTCTGCAACATTAGATGGGACCAGTTAAGTCCTACATCATTTTCTCATATAAATGCAAATTGAGATTTTTTTTCTATCTTTCTTTTTTTTTTTATCTCTCCAGATAAGACGGGAAAAAACACGCATCTCCACGCCTGTCTCCAGCTATTTTAATTTGCCCAACTCTTCTGTCGGCCACATCTGAGAACTTTTACCAAAAAAAGAAAAAGTTTTGAAAGAAAAGTAAAATCTTCTAACTTGTCCGTAATGTGAGTCTGAGAAAAGAGCAGCTTTAAAGTAAGACTGTAAGGAGACTTTTATCTAAACACATAAACAGAGACACGCCTCAGAAACAGATGCTGATCCACTGCTGTTTCCTTCTCTCTTTTTTTTTTTCAATAATAACCAGAAGTGCAGCTCTTGCTCACACTTTCATAAATACTCTAAAAAGCCTTGCCTTTCCTGAAATTGCTTTGCTTCAAGTTACATTTTTGGAGCTGAGAAATTGCACTTAGCCTTGAAATTTTAATTACCTCAGTATTGATACGCTGACCTTTGCCAACACCGCTGTATCAGCAGCATGGCATTCATCCTCTCCTTTTGTATCAGAGTCTTTTCAAACAGACGCTGCTTTCAAATTTAAATGTTCAAAGCGTCTCTTACAATCACAGCCTTGACTCAGAGATAGACTTGTGCTGGAAATGGCACAAAGAGGCAAAGTTCTGATGAATCCGTGAGATGTCTGTCTCCTTCAACAAGAGAATATTTCTTGAGTTGTAGTTGACACAGGTCTTGTTTTATTTATTTTTACCTTATTTACCATTCTGCGGGTCTGACCTCAACAGGTAAGCAGAAAACATAAAACAATTGATGAAATAAAAGAGCTACAAGGCTCGACGCAGCAACACATAGGGGAAAAATGGAACTTTGGGTCTTTTTTATGAAACTCAATGAATTTCCTGAAAGTCCAAGTGAGATATGGTGATGGCAGCATCATGTAAAGACTTGAGGCTGCCATAACAAAAATGGTGGTTTTAACTTAATACATTTTCATGGCACACTTTTCACATTTCTGATTTTCCCCTGTACATTTTTTAAGCTGTGCATTTTTAAGCTGTGCATGCATCAAAATCTGTGATTACAACAGGGAAACATACAATTTCTTTGATTTTTAAAAAATTATTTTAATTAAAGACATCCGATGAGAAAAATCACATAATGAGAGTGTGAGAAAACTTGGACCTTCTAATAAATTTGACATATAGAGAACCTCTGATGAAATGAGTGCCATGGTGGCAGCAGCAGGAGGAAAATCAGGTCTAAAACCTACAAGTCATTTCAATCCTTCAGACAAAAATGACATGAAACAAAGCTCTTGTAATCAGTGCAAAAGGCTGTTTAAAATCTAATGTCATCAAAATGCAAATTTATGATGAGAAGCTCTTATTTTATTCCATTTTTCTTGCCTCACTGTCATCGAAGATTTAGGTTACATCCTTGGTGAGAACATCTTGTCTGGGAACTTAATGAGTCGCCTATCTGGTCCTCGGATGCCACAGTTGATGTTCTATAATAGCGCAAACTTAATTTTTGCTTCCAGTTTTATTTCGTGACAGATGCAAATGTCAGATACAAATGTAGATTTGCTGGTTGAAGTCGCAGCTACAGAAATAATATTAAAGAAAAAATACCCAAGGGGAATATGACCAGAATAAATACATTTCATTCAGTTTACTTGATCTTTTTAGTGTGCATTCAGAAAGTAACTAACTAAATTCAGTCCAGTCTTAATATTATTTTAATATCAAGCCGATTCATAACCGATGTCATCACAAATGCAATGTCATGATGAACAGGCTCAAATACCTGGCACTTCTAATTAGAATCAAATTTTGGTCTAAATTTAATTTCAATCAAGGCAACTCCTTCTAATCTAATCACATCCAATAACATAGAGGTCAATTAAATCCTAATTTTAAGGCAGCACAATAACAATCTGCTTGTCCTTCTCTTAAGAACGGTTTGCTCTTGTTTATCTGGGATATTAGCTTTTTTTTAATGGTTGTTATAGTTTCTGAGTTTGATAAAAGAGCTTAGGGATCATGCTCTTCACTACTCAAAATTCAGCCAGACATCCTTCACTTCCAAGGCTGAACGAAAGGAGATCAGATCAAAGTTAAACTGGACAGCAACTCAACTTTTAACCTTGTGGGGAAAGAGGGGATGACATCAGCCATTTCAGATCTGTTTCCACTTTCCAGCTTGAGCAGATCAATTATTATTGTTTCTAATGTTAAACGCAATAAGTTAGGTTAGCTTTTAGTTTTGATACAGCTTCAGAAATACGCGGGAAAGATTGTTTCTAATTAAAACTTGTATTTGATGTTTCTGGTGAATTTTTCTGCGGCTACTTTTGTTGTCGGATTGTTTTGTGTTCGCAGTTTTCAGAGCTAAAAAGTTACGCACAAGTGTGGTTTTATAGGACTGTAACCCACCGCACACAGTGAGAACAACGTCTGCGCCTTTTTAAGACAGAAACCGGCAGTTTTTCTTCAGCACCATGGACAGCAGCTGGCTGAGCCTGTGGGCCTCTGGCGCCACCTGCTGGAAACAATTATTCAAGATGGACTGATTTAAGATTAAGGTTAGACCCATATTGTAAAACGGAAACTATGCACAGATTAAACTTTAAAAAAGCAGAACATCGTAACAACAAATGAGAAATAATGAAACTGAACATTTTATTCTTATGAGAACGAGAATAACAGACTCTCTCAGCATACATCAAAACCAAATGGAGAATTATTTCCCGACACAAACACACCAGATAAAAACTTAAAAATAAATTCACAGCGATTTTTCTTTTCTTTTTTTCTTTTTTTTATCTGGTTAGTGAAAATAAATTATTCACGGGTGGTTTAAATAAGGACAAGCTTTAATTTATGGACTATTTCCAGGCTTTAGAACTCAACTAAAAAGTTTCAGTAAAGTTTCAGTGAGAAAAACAGCAGATATGAGACAATCTGACCAGCAAGTTATATATTAAAATCCGCAATACATTCACCTAAAAAGAGATAAGAAAACAAAATACAATAAAAAATAAAAACATAAAATCTTCACTTCCTTTTATCGAACTCTCATTTGCCTATAAAATTGATTGATTGAAATGGCTGCAGGAGCAAATCATGTTGAATCCAATAGAGAACAAAGTGCCGGAGGAAACTCCAGATGCTGCAGTAGAAAAAAAAGAGTCAGATTGAAGGACAGAAGAAAAGGCAAACAGACGATAAAACAGGAAGACGACAACAGCTGCATTATATGAAGTGCTTCATTAAGCCCTCTGGTCTGATTTGTTGGCTTGTTTACTTGTTGGATATGCAGGAATGTGCAATATGTGTTTTTATTGATCAATATGGCTGTTTTGATTTTATTGTGGTACCAGTGTTCAACTGTTTGGAAGGTCCTTATCATTTTGGTGTCCCAGTCAAATCTCCCCTATGGGGACAATAAAGCATAGAGCTATCATTTATCTGTCAATAACGCATTATGCAGAAGTAACTTGTCATTGAATAAAAAAGAAAATATGTGTGAGATGCTAAAAAGAGGAAGGAAAAACAAATGCTGAAAAAAAATACTGAAAATCTACAATGAAGGTAAATTATATTCTAAAAATAGATTCTGTTTAATGAGCAAGCAGCTTTAACCAATAGGATTTTAAAAGGGTTTTTGTTGGTACCCTATAAAATTTGTGTTTAGAGATGAACATGCTTCAATGATGGACAGATGGTCCAGATATCTTTGGGTCACAAACTGCTATCAGGACTTCAAAATGACTTTTTGGTCAATTGCTTTCTTCGTATTATTCTCCTGTAAAGGCCAGATTTCAAGAGAGCAGAACTGATACTTACCCTGTTCACATCTGAGCTGTGGATCTCTGCAGTCCACATCCATGATTCAATTAATCACTGGGATAGGCAGTATATTTATTCTACCATGGCTCTTCTTGCTGCTCCTCTGATTAATGATCTCCTCGCCCATCGGTGGAGATGGATTTCTGTGTCTTCGTTTCCACCCTGATGCTGTTTGCTCACTAATGTTCTCAAACAAACATATATGGCCTTCACTGAGCAGCTAGATCTATTTAATTCATTACTTTAATGACTCACCTATGGACAGTCTGAAAATAACTGGTTGCACTGGATTTTATTTAGACGTGTCAGAGTAAACGGGGAATAGAATTAAAATGCAGCAAACGTGAAAAAAACCGTGGATATTTTCCTCCCAGAATATTCCAAAGCATCAACAACAAACATGGATTCGTGTGAACCATCTCCTCCACCTGTGTGTTGGTGAAGCTCTTGGAGGCGGACCGCCTCCATCCATCACCGCTCCCGTCCAATCAGCTGCGGCCTGACGGGACCTGCTGTTCATCTCCTCTCTCATCCTTGGACACCTTAAGAAGGGAGCGCAGATCTGCCTGTTTTGCCTTTGGTACCTCGACCTGGGCCTGATGGAGAACACCCGCTGCTTCGCGAACCGCTTCTCCGACTACCGAGGCGCGCTGCTGCCGGGCCAGAGCGCCGAGGCCGTCCTCCCAGCCGTCGTTGCCAAAATTGACAAGATCCTAAAAAAGATCCCGGTCGACATCGGCGACTGCGATGGAGGGCTCTACGACGGGCCGGCCGGAGTCGCTTACATGCTGTACCACGTCAGCGAGTGCCCGCTGTTCTCCGAGCAGCGGGACGTCTACCTGAAGACGGCCAAGCGGATCATCGACGTGTCGGTGAGGTATGCGGACTCGGAGCCTGACCAAAACATGCGAGCCGCCTTCCTGCTCGGCGGGGCGGGCATCTACGCCGTGGCCGCGATGATATACAAGTCCCTGGGCTTGGCGGATTTCGTGAAGCCGCTGACCAAGTTCCGGAACCTGTGGGAGGTGTGCGCGCCCATCCATTTCCTGGAGTGCGGCTCGGACGAGCTGTTCGTGGGGAGGGCGGGCTACCTGTGCGCCGCTCTGGTCCTGAAGCAGAAGCTGGGCATCGAGGTGAGGCAGACGCCCCGGGATGGTAAACTTCTTAATGTGCCTTATTAATATCACACTAATATCACACACAGACCTGGAAACATGAATGATTTCTGCTTTTGCTGCTTCATTTACTCCTTCAAGAGGCATGGATTATATTTTTAAATGAGAAATCATTTATTTCAAGCTGTGGTAGAATGATGGAAAACTGTCTAATGAATTGGTGTTTTGTCAATATGGATGTTAATATGAATCTTCCATGATGTTATTCATGTTCTGACAAACAACAGGCGCTTCCTGGGATGAAGGCCACATCCCTGAAATGTGTTGCCCCAACTCGTCATTTGGGTCAAGAACATTTTCTATTACTAATGTTTGCAGCACAATATTTTATAAGCTTACATTAAAGTCAACCATGCCATTTCTGTTGCTCCTAGATGTCAAAGGTCAGCTTTAAGTTTGTTGCTGACCACACGTCTTTGAGTGACGACATGATTTATGTCATTTATGTCACGTGATCTAGTTTCTCACTCTTTCAAATAGAGACAATTGTGAAAATGATTTTAATTTATCCTCTTCCAAATGACCTGATGAGGCAGTACAGACAAATTCAACCCATCTGTCATAATCTGAGATTGCAGAAAAAGAAAACACAATTTTCCACACAGACAAAAAAATGTTAACATATAGAAACAATGGAGACCCAAATGGAAGTACTAAATTGTGCAAAAAGAGAATTTTTCACAATAGGTCGATTGCCTTTAGATGTTATATTTCCCTTTGGGATCAGTGACATATTTTTTAATTGAATTCAATTTAAATGTGAAACATGAAGACGAAAGAAGAAATTTATAAGTGGGCAAACGGCTATTGATGGTCATGTATCTTTGACAACATTGTTTGTTTACTTATCCTGAGTTATTATGGCGCTGCGCAGGTGGAAGATGTGACACAAAGTCTCTTGTGGCTGAAGAGTGAGATAAATGGTCTCAAATGACTCCAAGACATTCGTTGCTAACATAACAGAAACCTGATGTAATTGGTGACCTCAGAAGATGGTCGTCTTATTTATGAACTCTGTTTAATTCAATTAATGTAATATTTGTAAATGATGCCGCATACGAGAGTAAAATAAAGCTATAAGTAGTCACAGTCAGACAATCTGGGGATCCTTCCACACATGCAGTTTCTTGGTTGCGATTCTCAGTTTTTAAACAATAAAATGACTAAAACCAAAACACTCAAGTTTAAACTTTAAGATGACTCCATAAAGCACTCAGTGTATGTGCAGTTGTTTCATTTACAGAGCGTCTGGATGCTCTGCATTAGTATAAAACAGACCATTTATAAAACCTTGTCTCACAGTTGTTCCTTTTTGTGACATTTTCACATCATCACAACCAAGTTCCCAACAAGAGAAAAGCAAACGGTGTGAACAGAGAGACGAGGAAGACGCTGGGTCACCTCTTTCGCTCTCCCTCCTGCCTGACTCGACAGGACATAGTATATGTTTGACATCCTTGACAGTTTGCCACCTCAGGTGACCTCAGACGCTCTTCTGTTGCTGGTCTTACCTGGAAACTGTGAATCAGTAATGGTACATCTCTCCCAGACCAATTTGGCTTCACATTGCATTCTGCGGTTTGCTAGGAGAAAGAAAACAAAACATTTCTAGTCTTTTCACAGGTTTTCACAGATTAAAGACATTATTAAAGATGTCTTTGTGTTTTTCATTTGACAGATTCTGAGCAAAGATCAGATCAAATCTATCTGCCAAGCCATCATCGAGTCAGGAAAGCAATACGCCAGGAGGAAGAGGAAGCCTTTCCCTCTGATGTATTCATACTATGGAACAGAATATCTTGGTAAGAATATCTTCAACAGCGCTGTGCAAAAGTCTCAAGCCATCCCTCATTTCTTTATATGGTTCCTCTGAAAGTCATCAGGGTTTCTTGCAGTTTTTTAGTTTTTAGAAAGACCCTCAGATGATCTACTTATCAGGATCACTATAGGAACATTGAAATCTTTGCACCATCCTAATTGTTCAATCAATTAGGACCGATTAACTTTCTTATTTTCCAATAAAGTTGTACATCTCTAGTCCTTTTCTGATTAACAAATGAAGTTAAAATCGGTATCAAATATCCAAACGTGTTATAAGAAGGGTGTCCTAATATTTTACACATGACTTAGTCTTTATCGCTCTCTGGCTCCAGAGTTGTTGTGCTGACATGTATGAAGCTAACTGTGCTTTTCTTGACTGCATCGGATGAAGAGAAGCATCAGGGCTGGAGATCCTCAGTAACTTTCAGACCAGCACAGAGTTCATAGTAAGCATAGCCCTGCTGGTCACCTCTGCATGATTTCAGCGCCGATGGGAGAAAATGGAGTAAAAAAAAAAAAGAGTTGACTCCCTTAGAGAGATTAATGAAGACACTTTTAAAGATCTGCATGAGTCAAACTTTGCCTGCATTAAAACATTTGCTCACTGTTTACTGTGAAGTCTCGGATATGAATGAAGATTGTAGTGTTTGACATTTCCCAGAGCGCTGTGGTTACCCTGCATGCATTTAGTGGTAATGAGGACTTTAGGATTCACATGATTTAGCTCCACTTCTCACCGGTCTGTTCTGATTCAGTGAATAATTTGTTTCAGCTCAGAGGGTTGTCGCAGTTTGTAAATTAGCTATATTTGATTTTTATACGTAACACTGTTGATTAAAGAAAGAAATGAGTAAGAAAAAGTAAGGCCGATCTATATTGAAAATGAACAATGTTACATCTATATAACTGTGCTCAATTATATGTGTGTACTTGCTGAGCAATGTGGTAAAGCTGCTCATTAAACTGCTTTTGAGACCATTTGGAGTCACAATGAAAATGTTTTTGTTAGACAACAGAGCATTTGCTGCATGTTTCCCCTTCTGTCTTCACCCTCTTTCCTGTCAATCTACTGTTCAAAAAAAGCTAATTAAATAATTCTGGGCATAATTAATTCTGAATGCAATCTTCACTTTGCCTACTGAAGATGTTGTGTTAAGTGCTCTCTCTTTACTAATTGACATTTTTAGTACTTTGGTTCTTTTCACCTTCCGTCAGTTTGCATGTGGTACCTCCTGATTTTGATGTCAAAGCCAGATGTGTTTCTCTATTCAAAGTTCTTTCTTTGCAGCCAGGTAGAGCAAGGTCAGTGAACCACAAGAGGCAAAAGGAAGCCTCCACGCAGTCTGTTTTTGATCGTATATTTCAGGGTTGTGCCTGTTTGTTTGCCCGGCTGGTTTTGTTTGCCGCATGTTTTTGACCCGCTCCTCGCCCTGCGTCCTGTCAGGTGCGGCCCACGGCCTCTCCTCGGTGCTGCAGATGCTGCTCAGCTACCAGGATGTCCTCAGCGGGCCGGAGAAGGACCTGGTGTGGCAGAGCGTTGACTTCCTCATGACTCAGGAGCAGAACTGCAACTGGCCGGCAGAGCTGGGAGCAATCATCGAGAGGGAAAACGAGCTGGTGCACTGGTGCCACGGCGCCCCAGGTACAACCACTGTTACCAATGTCACACCAGTATCACATTCCCTGTTACTATAATGTTTCCATTTCATCCTGCAGGCGTGGCGTATCTTTTCGCAAAAGCCTATCTGATCAATAAGAAGCCACAGTATCTGGACACGTGTATCCGCAGTGGGGAGCTCGTCTGGCAGAAAGGCCTGCTGAAGAAAGGACCTGGCATTTGTCACGGGGTTGCAGGCAGCGCTTATGTCTTCCTCCTGCTTTATCGCCTCACAGGCAATTCCAAATACCTCTACCGTGCCCAAAGGCAAGCAATCATTTCTCCTCTTCCTCACTGGTGTGAAGTCTGCAGGCTATAAGCCGTCTTCAATATCAGAAACTTATGAGTCGTGTCCCAAGTTGTCAGCGAAATTTATTTCTCCAATATGTTGGGAACTGATTGTACCACATATCAGCTCATAGTGTAAAACAGCAAAACTTTTTTTTCCATGACTTTCATTTTAGTTTTCACAATACAGATCAATCAGTTGAAGTTTTTAAAAACACATAATTATGTATAATCATATATAGCCTATGTAATTACATATAATTTCACTTGTATGTAATAATTAACTTATTACATATAATTTAAATGAGTTTAAATTTTTGTGTCAATCTACAATGCACAGAAAATTAAATGCATATCAAAACTCATGCACAACAAGCCAATGATCTGTTTTCTAAGGCAGATAGCTTTATAAACTACTATGTTTGACTTTATGTATGTTTTGAACCGATCATCTGCTTTCTGATACGATACTAAGTGGTTTTGTGAGACAGTTTAAAAACCCCTATCTGTAACAACATTTTAATTAGCCTACCTGCTAATTAATTGATCATTTAGCTTTCAGGATGTTACCGTTTCTAATGTTGCTTTTTGTATTAAACTCAAAATGAATATTTGGTCTAAATCCCTTTTTCTGAGCACTAAACGCTGTTGTGTCACATATGTTAGTCAGACTGGTGTCTAATTATAGGAGAAGCCTCATCATCTTAGTCAAATCAGTTTAAACATTTTCTGTATGAAGAAACATTTCAAATTCACTGCTCAAGAGTGAGTTTGAGAGTTTTTCTATCATTCAAACTGTCTGTTTCTTAAACAATGTTGGAGTCAATTTTATCTCCATTGATTCCACTCTCCATAGCTTTGCAGGATCACTTTCTAAATATATTCAGATTTCATTGATTTTCTTGGCTTTCTGTGACTTTTTGCATCTCCTTTTACTCATGTGTATGTCCTCCACTTTTCACCCGTAGTATTTCTAAACTATGTGTGGACCACATGGTATTCTGGTTTACATTTCATGTCAGTATTAGAATACATATTTACAAAAAAAAAATTCTTGAATTTGTTTGCCCTGGTGAAGTGAATCTTAAAGACACTTATATTATTCATCATTTCATCTCTTTCTGTGTTCTTCTCTTCGCCCCACAGGTTTGCAGAGTTCATCTTCACCGAGGAGTTTAAGGCGGGATCCCTCTCGGTCACCAGCATCTACAGCCTTTTCGAGGGCCTTTCCGGGACCGTTTGCTTCCTGGTCGATCTCCTGCAACCAGACCAGTCAGAGTTCCCTCTGTTCAGCGTGTTTGTGTGAACGGATCCAGCACCGCGTTGTTTCCTGACCAGAGCAGATGCTATCATTTTTACAATAGACGGAGTAACATGCACTGTAAAACCGGGACAGTATGCGAGTGGGTTTCAGTTGGAATTAAAAAAAAATAAATTGATGCAGTAGCACAGAAAGTTTTTGCTTCGTGTGGACGACATTTTAATCAGCTGAAATGAGGCCTCACAGCCACTTTAACCTGAGATACGTATTTATAAGTTTCCTTTGGATTTCCCTTATCTACAGAGTCTAATAGAATCTCCTCAGATTTGCTTCAGCATTAAAAAAAACCCAGCAGCTAACATGCATAAAAGAAAACAAATTTGCTGAATTTGTGAGTAAATATAGTGAAAATGTTCTGAAAAAATATATAGCTGCACAATATCTTATTCAACATATTTACATGAGTCAAAAAACAATTAAATCAGTCTGTAAACAATGACAGCATGCACATTTTGCTGCAGCGCTAACGCAAGTCTGCATATAAACAGAAACAACAAAAAGGGATTCAGCCTCAGCTGTTGGTATTTGTTTTTATCCCTAAGGCGTCTGTCAGTGATAAAACATTTCCCGTTGCTCCTGGTTGCGTAAAATTACTCGTAAATGGTATCGCTAGGTAGGCTGTCAACAAACTACTCAGCTGAAACCAACTCAAAAACTCCAATAACATTTTTAATAATTTTTATTTTCTCTCGCAGTAATCTTTCAAAACAACATTCGCAGTTTTAACTAAAAAGGAAAAGAAAAAAACTGAAGTGTGTGTACCCTTAATCTCAGGACAGAGATAAACATGCACTATCGACAGCCGAAAGGAAATGAAATCACGACTAAGTCACACATACCCTCAAATATATATATAAAAAAACACGAGTCACATAATGCCTTTGAAGTTTACACCAGCTAAGCATCACACAATGTAGTTAATTTAAGTCTTTAGGGACATAATCTCTCAATTTAAATAGTTCAGGAATAAAAACGTGGTTCAATGACATTAAGCTTTCAGATTTACTGATATATGTTAGAGGTACAGTCGGTAAATGTTGAGATTAATATCTGTTCATTGTCGTAACAGCTTCCCTTTGTTCCGTTTCACCTGTGTGGCTGCTGTTTTTGGTGTTTCCGGCTCTGTTGGCCGCCGTGTCTCCACTTTGAAATCGTAAGACGTTGTCATTTGTTTCACCCTGTGGAAAACAAAAACAATCTGTAACTTTGTGAAAGTTACCAAGGTCTGGTTTTCTTCTTATTTTTCTTCTAAGTAAATTCCAGAAGTGACTTTTTTTCCCCCCAGCTGTGTAACCGTCAATAATTGATGTCTTTTAATTGTCATTATGTGGCCTTACAAAAATCATTGTCATTAAGTCTAAAAATACAAATGGAAGATGCTTTGGTCAGCATTTACTGTGTGAACAAGTGGCTCACGTCATTAAAAATAAAACAGCAAACCAAAGCAGTTTCTGATGCTCCATGTGCCTGTCGCTCCATATTTCTAGGCTACATGAGTGAGTGAATGTTGCTGCATTTACAGTCTAATCCACAGGATTATTGTTAAGTGTCCAGATCAGAAAATACATAAACAAAAGGAGATGGATGCTTTGCTTTACTCTGTCAACACATAATCTTAAGCACAATGACATGCTGTATATGTGCTAAAGCATATTAAAGCGTGGTTTTGTCGAAATATGTTTCTGTAATGTTCATTGAATAAATATATGAATGGCTCTTTAAAACTGAAGTCGAATATGAATCATTTTGTTCACTTTGAGGAAGCTCATTGATCCTTGTTTAATTTTTGGGTGAAGTAAAATCATTTTATGCTCCATACGAAACACACAAATTTTTAAATATCTACCAGCATAATTTCTGCAACTTGCAGATTTCTTTTCCTTATGTAAAAATATTTATATTTTATATATTAATAATAATTTCAGATAGATTAAAAATATAAAAAGTTCTTTTGTCTGGAGAATATTGAATATGTAATGTCTCTCTTTAGATGTTGGATCTTATCAGCCAAGCAGCAGGTGAACATGCCGAAGACGTTAACATGATCAGCAATGTGTATCCATGGGTCCGTTTAGTTTCCATGGTCTGGACGACAGGATGGAAACAGCCATTATTGTCCTGCAAAGGTGAAAGTCAGGGTTAGGGTTGGATGGGGGTTTTCACCACAGTGTCTGTTACATTGTTGTATATCATAAATGCTTGTTTAGTTGACGAATATTTCTGAGTGTATAGGCATTTAGTAATCAAACTTAAGTCTTCGTTTTATAACTAATGCTATCAGCCACTGGCATCTGTAGACCTAGATGAGTCTTTCTGTAAAGATTTGACACCTAGAAGGCAGATTAATTTAGGCTGGAAACCATTTTTTTTCTCTCTTCTCTCTTCTGTTTCCCCAAGTCCAAATACAACTTTAATTGGATAACACTAAGATCCAAACCAAATTGGATCTTAGTGTTAGGAAAGTGAAAGGAAGCAGATCTCTGATAAAATCAGACACATGTTTAGATTTCCTGAATAATTCATAACATTCATTACTGTATTTACTGATGTAAATTGATTTAAATAGATTTTTTTTATTGCAGTTCAATTTATATTTCTTGGTACTATGTTCCATTAATAAATGTCCTCATTCACCTTATGATAATATGGAGCAACACTTGTGCAACCTGAATCTGTTTACTGTTAAGCTGACTGAAACTATAGTCGGTGAAACTACACTGACTATAGTTTCAGTGTAGCTGATTAGCCAACCCAACTAGCATGACCAAATGCCTCAGAAAATCTTTGACAAAAGCAGAAACACCAAGATCCAAAGATTCAGAAGAGCTTCAGGTCGCTATTAAAGCAATCTGGGGTTCATGCCTTCATGACCAGTTGATGCTGCAACAAAACTGCTCTTTTACTGGTCTTATGTAAAAGAGCAGTTTTATATATATATATATATATATATATATATATATATATATATATATATATATATATATATATATATATATATATATATATATATATATATTATATATATATATATATATATAAAATCTGGGTTATTGGTTTCTAACCTCTGTAAATCAGTATAACTCTGAATAATGCCTTCACCACGCCACGCCATCTGCACTATTTAAACCTAATTACCAAACTCAGTTAATTTGCTGGAGTTGTTGTGAAGCAGAGCACATCTCCTCGGTGTCGCACAGCGCCCCCTGCCGTAACTCTTTGGCACAAGCTTGGCTGAGGACGCCTCTCTTTCCTCAGTTCGCTGATTAGCAGCTGCTGAGGCGGCGTTGCCCGTATGGTGGCTCGACGCCGTCCGCACGGCTCGGCGGTTCCCGTAATGGACGCGAGGACCCGGGGCGAAGCAGCGCGCCGCATCCCCCCGGATGGCGGAGTGGAGTGAGCGAGGATGCGCTTCCCCAGCTCCATCTTTGTGTCGGTGTCTCTGTTCACGGCCGAGACCACGGCAGCGCTGTACCTCAGCACCACGTACCGCTCCGCCGGGGACCAGATCTGGCAGGGTCTCACCCTCCTCTTCACGCTCGTCCCGTCCGTCCTGGTGCAGCTGACCCTCACCTTCGTCCACCGGGACCTGAGCAGAGACAGACCCCTCATCCTGCTGCTGCACATCCTGCAGCTCGGTCCCATTGTCAGGTCAGAGCTGGCATGTTTGTCTGTGGAGATGCAGTGGGTTCCTCCAGCTGGGCGCCGCGTCAGACGGGGACACTGACGGGGACATGTCCCCGTCAGTGGCGTGTGTGCGTGTGTGTTTTTTTTTGAGTCGTCTCTAACCAGCGGGGATGTAGTTGCTGAAAATGCTCTGCGCACATGCTGTTATTGCTTACATCCCCTCTCCGCTTTTTGTCTGGTTGTCCTCGTGTTGATGCAGCATGATGCACGCGAGTGTCATTTAGATCGGAAGTAAACATCTGATCAATAGAGCCATCGATAAGTTCCACATTCCTCTTGACATTTGACAGCTAAGTATTCACACCTTCATGAGAATCGCCCACTCAGTGTCTGATCCGTGTCTCAATATGGATCAATTCTCGGCGGTGATGAAGGAACCATTAAACCAAACCTGCATCTCTGCGGTCTGACTGGACCATCTGGTTACAGGAACATGAGACTGACTAATCTTGCTTTTAGAAAACAACTCCCTGTGGTGCACACACACCCACACCCACTCTGTGATCAATGTGCAAACAGCAGTAGATCTACTTTGGTGTAAAACCGACGCACCACTCTAATATCTAGGCTGCTCTGTGACAGCTGACTTAGTGGCTGATTTGCAGAGCCACTAAAAGTGTTTTGCATCTGTTTTGGTTATCTGTGTTTAAGCATCTGCAGTGGCTTTCAAAAGAAGGACCTTTTTTGCATTGTTAATGGCACAAACAAGATTGTTATTTTGTGGGATTTTACTTACGGTAGTATACCAACACTAAACAGTCATCAATTGTGAAAGAACAAAAATACACAGCACGGCTTTTTCGGTAAACGTTTAGTTTCTGCTTTTTAAAATGTTCATTTTTGAAAAGAAAACATTTCTTGATGGAAAATCCTTTCCCATTTGCCAGAATTGCAGCTTCTTCTGAAAATGTTTGTTTTATGACACATCTGCGTTTGAACAGACAATGCCTTAAAGATTTTAATGTTGGGCAGACAATGCAGAATGAGGAAAAATCTTAGTTTTTCGGGGCTTCCTAATTATTGTGGTGCTCTCGTAAAACTGAGTTACAAACATGTGAGCGTTGTAGAGCCTTAAGTTACAGTACTGTCATCTAGCAGCTCTGAAACTGACACTGTTTGCAGTCAAACCCCTGAAGTATTCGAGAGGTTACGACTCGACATGTGAAGAAACCCTCGGTGTGGCAACGCCTCAATGTGTGGCCGACTCGGTGACGACCTGTTTTGCTCTCACGTTGTTTCCCAGGAGCAGTCTCTGTTCCCTCCAGTGCTCATACAATCATTACTCTTCAGACATTTACATCTTCCCCGGGTGAAGCACGGTTCTAAGAATAGCGCATGTCACTGCAGGCTGCTTATCACTGACAGCACAAGCGCAGAGGGGAACGTCTATCTCTGCTGCAAACAGCCAAAGCGGCATTTTCTTGTCTTATCCAGACACAACAATGCTGAAATCATCTTCGCCATTTTAACTGTCTCTGCAGATGTGACACCAACAGTTGTTGGGCTGGACTCGTAAAACGGTCTTCTCCGTTCTGTGAATTAGTTCTAACTAGTTTTCTTTCTTCACAAATGCTCATTTTCTCTTCTTGGTGCTTCTTGCAAAAATGAACTTAAGTTCATCTTGATAGTGCAGCAGAGCAGAAGTCAGATAAAACCATTTCAGCAGGAGGTTTGCAATCTGTTTACATTTTTCCTTTTGGGGTTTTAATCTGTTTTTAAGCCCTATGGAGCACAAAGTCCACATTTAAAGGACTTTGTGCTTTAAATGTGGAAGTTAGTAAGTAAAGTTAGCAGAGGGACAAAAGTTGCACTGGAAGACCACCTTCATAAAACAACTGTAGAAGCTGTATTTATAGCATTTACAGCAATGTGACTTTGAGTTGACTGTAATCTTGATCCTGGCCAAAATATCTTTTTAAAGTCACATTCAGGTCATGAGAATATCTGAAGGACCGCATCTCTGTCCACATCAGTTCAGAGGTGGAACAGTTAGGCTGGTCAGAGTAACAACTTTCGCAATAAATTGTCCCAGAAGTTATTGCGATAATAATTATATTGTTGTTTTGAGATCATTTTCAATAGAAAAGTAATGCCATGACAATCTACACACTCTTAAAGATCAATACACTTTATATTCTAACAAATATTTAACATTGCAACTGGAAGATATTTTAATAAATATCCAAAACAAATAAAGAAAACCTGCGACAGACTGGCGACCTGTCCAGGGTGAACCCCGCCTCTCGCCCGGAACACCAGCACCTCCCGACCCCACTAAGGACAAGGGTGTTAGAAAATGGATGGATAGATGGAAATAAACAAAACAACAACAACATTTAAATGAATTATGGAGTCTCTGTAAACAAAATTGTTCCTTCAAAAAGGGCGAGATGAGACCAAAACACCAGACTGAAGAAGTTTGTCAGCAAGTTTTTGGTAGAAAAAGAAAAACAATAAATTATGAAAACAGAAATGATCGAGCTTGCTTTAACGTATCATGTGATTAATTGATTTATTGTTTATCGTGACATGCTGTTTGCAGTCAAACTCCTGAACTAAGTGAAAAAACACTCTGTGTATTTTTCCCTCATGTGCTTCTCTTCTTTATTGTGTTGAATGCCTTCCTGTTGTATCACAAACTACCTTACAGTCTTGAGAAACTTAAACATTTTATATTTAATAATGAATGTGAAGCACTCGGAGCTCCTTGCAATACTGAATCTGAAAAACAAAAGTTTCAGTTTTAAATGAATGTGTGGAACCCTTGCAGAACTACAACAAGCTGGAACCCTCTTCCAGTCCCAATCCTTCAAGAGCTCCAGTCGTGTGTCTGATTTTTATGCCGTGTTTTTGAACAGATAAACATTTGGTCTCCCTGTGGAGCTGAGGCTTAAATCCTGACATTGTGCTGTTTGATTGGCTGCTGATCAGCGCCACTCGACCCCCAGCTCGTCTGCCTGCGGTCTGCTCTTCAGAGTCTTTCGTATTGCATTGGAAAATTACTGGCTCTCTCTCAACCTGATGGCTCTTTTGACCTCCA